TACTATTTTGAAGTAAATCGTGTGTGAGCCTGTGTAGCGGCTCTAGGGGGGAAGGGGGAAAACGGAAGTGAAGGGTGGGGGGTGGGGGAGGAGCGGAAAAAGGAGAGCGGAAAAAGGAGAGCCACTAAATCGTGTAACCACCTACCAATAATAGCTTACCGGAAATGGTTTGTTACTTGTCAATTTCCATGTATTTGGAATCAGCCATTACCACAGGTAGACCACAAGCAAAACCACCATTTGCGCCCRTGCCCCCAYTAAACATACAATCAAGTTTATCTTACTTTATTTTTTCAGCCTCTTCATCAGCGCGTTTCATTTTCCTTAGTCTCAATCTGTCCCTGAAATAATTATTCTAACTGATTATAGCTGTAAAACACTTTTTAATGATGTTTAAAATATATACAATATACAGTGATACATATCTACCATCTTCTCTAAAATATAACATATTCGCTAGAAATGATACTGACGATTTTTTACCAATAAAGTGCATCATGTGAACTTAGTCTGTCTTAACCAGGAATTACAAAATGGCTCAACCAAAAAATTATCTTCCCAAACACACTTTTTCAAAATATCTAAAAGACAATCCCATAAATAATGAACTTACGAAGGTGTTAGAGGTCTTTCCTGTTCTTCTCGTAATGGCAGGTTATCGTCATATCTTCTGCCTGTTCTTGTCGCAGGTCTTTCAATATTGCTGCAATAAAACGTTCAGTTCAATTTGGTACAAGACAACAAAGAGATATATTATAGTTGATGTTTTGACAGAGAAATGTTAGGAACGATGGAAGATGCTGTCTGTTCTGGTCATCGTATCTCAATGCAGTGCTCCATCTGTAAATTTGCTATGGCGAAATAACAATGCTCATAATCCAAGACATACACATTATCGACCATTGCTTCTGAACAACGCATTAGTCGGGCTACTTTAGTTTTASCTTTTGACCAATCTATCTATGAATCTATGTATTAGGTAGATTTTGAAAATGACACAGGAAGCCCAAGATTACAAATGTTGAATTATAGAAGAAGGGACGCTTTCGCTTTCTTTAACACAAACGAAAATGCCATTCTAAAATATTTAGAATACTACGCGCGCTGTGATTGGTCGAAAACCATGTTTGATTACAGTATCAAAACACGCTCGTTTCATATCGTATCAAAAGTCAGAATTTTTTACAATTTTCGAATTCTTTTAATTTTAGAAAAGAAATAAAAGACGAAATTCCGTGTTTGATACTCTGATCAAAACACTTGGGATGTAGGGAGAGCACTCGAAAAGCTGGAAACCACTCCGCGTTTTATTCCTTAATTCACGATGGCAGAAGTACATATGGTTATGTACTTCTGACGAGCCAAACGCTCTAAAGAATACTCAAAGACACTCAAAGCAAAATCAAATTTAACMTGCGTACATCTCTTTTAAAACTGATTTTTGAGTTTTTGAATTGCAAATAAATGACATTATAAAATAACTTTCATATCACTCGCGCTCTGATTGGCCAAAAAGCAGTGYTTGATGAGAGCATAATACACGCTCGCGTCATTTTTTTTCTCGGCTTTTTGTTCTCATGAATATTTGGGCGCTTGTTATTAAAAACAGTTTTCCGTGTACTATACTCTGATACAAACACTTGGGATGTGGAGAGAACACTCGAGAAGCTGGAAACCACTCCGCTTCGCGTCATGGTTTCCTAAGCTTCTCTCGTGTTCTCCCCACATCCCGCGTGTTTTTATCAGAGTATAATACATGGAAAACTGTTTTTTATTCCTTAACTGTAAAATGATTTGGTATACCTTTTATTTCGATGAGATGCTGAGGGATTCACACTTAAATTAAGTTTCTCTTGCATTTGCAGGCTCATTTTCTGAAATAAGATTTGTCCGCCATTTTGGACGGGTAGGCATAGTGTCGCAAAATAACAAGGAATGACCGGGAAATCGATGTCAAATAATTCTCGCTGAATTCAGATTCAGAAAGAATTATCAATTGCAAACGTTAGATACTACAAAAGGAGCTGACTGGCCAAATTTGAAGGATGTGCTTCGTCTAGGGAGCGAGAAAATTTATTTTTAGTTCTCAATACATTTCTTTGTATTTTTCACGCGCGTCACGCACTGATGACCCCGGAAATTATAACGAAATGTATTGAAATTACAAAGAAATGTATGGAGAACTAAAAATGAGTTTACTCGCTCTCTAGATCAAGTACGCCTTTCAAATTTGGCCAGTTAACTCCTTTTTGCAGTATCTAACGTTTGCAAATGATAATTCTTTCTGAATTTGAATTCAGCGAGAATTATTTGACATCGATTTCCCGGTCATTCCTTGTTATTTTGCGACACTATGCCTACCCGTCCAAAATGGCGGACAAAACCGTCAACCATATGACTAGTAAAGAAGAGGAGTAAATCGCCGCCATGTTGGATGAATGAACAAGAGAAACTAATCGGAAAAATGCTTTTTGATCTTCATCCAACATGGCGGTGATGACGTGACTTGCACGCCAAGAATAGGTCTTATTCATGACCTAATGCAAATTAGCCACGCGGTCTTCCAGGGGGGAGCTTTTTTACATGTAAAACTGGGCAGCAACGTCTTATATCGAAATTGGACAGGTCAGCTTCAAATTTCAGATATTTTACTATCAATAATACATACTTGAACTTTGTAAACACATGGAATTTTAGTCAAATTACCGYACCATGTTTTAAGGAATAAAGCCCTTCAGACTTTTAATCGCTACCGCAAAAGAGTTAGCACACAAGTTGTTTTTTACGTGTTGAGGCCAGGTTCGTTCAACAAGGAATGCCTGTAAGTCCGTTGCAGTGCATAGCATGCCGCAAGTTCTTCTGAATTCTTTTTCCAGCGACCAACAGTTCAACGGAGCGGGCTAAAAAGGGTCTGGGACTACTTTGTTTTAAGAACGTAAGGTAATTGGGGAAAACGTGTTTGTTTCATAGAGCAATCGAATATCTGATCTAGTGATATCTATTCTAATATAGTTCAATCAAATAAAAAAAGCTAAAAGGCCTTTTCATGAAACCACAGCGCATGCCCCTGAATACTCACTTTCATATTACTTGATATATATTCATTTCTGAGAATTTCAGATCCGCTTGGACGTTTACTTGGATCTTTTGATAGTAATCTACAAGGGATTATAACATGCTATTGACATTTATTGCATTCAATCTGGAATATCTGATGTAGCATATTTTTAGACAACTGCAACTCCATATTCATTGATGTTTGTTTTTGGATCATAATTGCAGAAACATCCTGTAGACAAATTTGCCTTTATTAGCCCAAGCTTTCGTCCTAAGCGGGCATCTTCTAAGTGACAACGTTACAATAATAATAAGAACTTCGTTATCAAAGACAAAGAGAAAACATAATGTGCGCGCGCAATAATACACAAAAGAGAGGAGAGCGCGCTAAGAACTAATCACCAATCAAGTTTAAAAAGCTCGATGATAAATTAACACTCTACTATTGTTTCTATCAAACAAAGTCAAATTTGACGGGGGTTGATGTATTTGAATCTGAAAAAAATGAGTCAAAATCCAATCCACATAAATAATTTGGATTAGCTACTTAATGCATTTAAATGAATTACAATTTTCCTAAGAATTTGTTAAAACTATATCATTCTAACTCTATTATAATTATTTATATTATAAGAAGGTTGAAGAACAAGGTTGGAAATGCACCTTGTTGCTAAAAGATGAAGATCCTAATGCATAATATTTACCGCATTGCCACAGGTAAGTTGGAAATAATTCTTGAGACCATWAGTGCAATCACATAAAAAATTCAAGTACCTTTTATATAAATGATGTAATTCTTGGCTGTATTTGTTAGAAAGTTCAGGAGGATCTCCTTCTACAATTTTGTACATTATTCCCATCAAACTCTAAAACAAAACAAATTCAGTGACACACATAAACCTACATTTAGATATTGCTAAGTTTAATAGGCATAGTTTTTTTTACACAAGCCTTAAACCACAAGAATCTTTCCAATCCTACACAAATTTGTGAGATGTAGATATTTTTAAGTGATCTCGGGATGAAACCTTCAGGCAGGGTCGGTTTGTTTAAAGTTAGATTTAGCGCTAATACTAGGCCAAATCCTACTAAACCTATGGAGTTAACCCTGGATTAATGCTAGTGGACATGCACTACATGGACAAAGCATTAGCATTAATTACTTATTATAACAAATATACAAACCTGGCCCTGGAAAGGATGCTTTAAGTTACACAATTCATACAAAATAGCTCCTAATGACCTGCAAAAAGATATTCTCATCACTGAAATGAACATAAAACAACAGTAGCAACAATACTAACCATATGTCTGACTTGTGATTATAMGCTTCATGTTTTAGTACTTCAGGACTCATGTAGTATGGAGTACCAGTAAATGTGGTAGCCATATCAGATGTCCCCATTAGRATTCTTGATATTCCAAAATCACCTAAAAACAGTGTATAAAGAAAGCGAGTATTTCAATTTTAGTTTATTTGTTTACTAGAATAAAACAGCTGAATCAGCAGCTAGTCTCACTTTGGTTTCTCACTTTGGTACGGTCATAACTKATATCGACGACAATGACTCAATGGATTTTTCACTATTTTAACACTGCAACAATTATTATTCCTTTACACATTTTCATACTGTCTAATGCTGAAACAGACAGCAAATTTAACTACAACATCTTTTTAAATGAAGAAGAAGTTAGATTTTGATTGACATCACAATGGAATTGAATCACAGTTTTTTTTGTTTTTTTTTTAGTCTTAAAAGAGCTGGCTAATAGAGTACTCAAGTGATGATGTCACAAAACAACAAAAATCTTTGAGTTTTTAAATTTGCCCTCCATATACTTCTGAAMGTACATCATTTGTAATGCATCCTTGCTAAATATGAGTGTCTTAGTGCCGAGATACAAGCGATTTTATGGTCGGGTGACCACATACAAAGGTTGTAAATTTGGTCTTGTTCCTTTCGCTATGAGCACTAGGACACTGAAATTTGCTACTTTTTTCCATGTGCTTCAACTTAGGATATTTCAACGAATACCAAAAATTCAAAAAAAAAAGTATTTTTGTGTCGTCAAACTTGAGTACTCTATTAAGCCCAGTAATGTCCACAAATCTACTGGAATTTTRCCAGAGAATTTCACAGCAACAAAATCATTGCTGGCAAAGCAATGYCAAATGTGCCATCTACACTGACAATATTTCCCTTCCAAAATCATTCAATACCAAGTCAATGATTAATGCTGCCAAATAAAAACAATAAATTGTCAAATGAAACATCAAGAAAGTTCATCATTCTTACCTAATTTGATGACATTGTTCTTGAGAAAAATATTTCTATAGGAATAAAAAGCAATCAGCATGTGAGAATTCACACGTGGCAAATTTCAGTTTTGATTATGTGAACTTCATTTTGTTACTGCATTTCAAGTTTAATTTCACCTTGTTTTAAGATCACGATGAAGAACTCTTCTGTCAAAATACAAAATAAAACAATTAATTTACAAGACAGTGTCAATATTTACATGTCMTGTTCAACTAGCCACCAGCCGTAAGGTCTGTTTATGCTTGTGATTTTTGCAGCACAATTATTGCACARCAATCACCACTTTGTTATCACACAATATACATTTCAAATTGTAAGTGCAAACAGCCCTGCGATTGCTGTGGCTGCTAAAATCACACTTAAAGGCCAGAATGATGTGTAGCAGGCTGTCCTATGTCTATGCTATTATCTGTGCTTTTGCAACAATMCAAAATCCTCTATGATTATAATAAAATTGTGACTTACTTTTGATGCATGCTATGAACTGCCAAGACAATTTGTATAAACCATGCTAAAATAAGAGATTCATCAAATGTTTTACCAGCCTTCTGCCAGGCTGCGATCTTCTCACTTAGGTCACCACCCTATAATGAATTGAACCAGTACTCAAATACARAGGATCCACAAAGAGTTTTCAAATTCATCATGTCATGAAATCCAAATCCAGTTAATTTCCCAGTAATACTGGATAATCCCCAATCCTTTCAAATACATCAGTATATTACATGGGAGGGCGGAGATATATGGATTTTATTTTSAAGTCTTGAAAAGAGTGAGTGACTCACTTTATTCACAATAGATCTKCTGGTACAAACAACAATGACACTACGTCACCAYAAACTCATACAAGAAGACAGCATTGGATGCTTTAATAAAAGTGTCTATGATTATGCCTGAAAAAAATTCTGATTCTCTGTGAGCTGATTCTATATTAAAACAAATAATTGAATGGTAAAATATTCCTACATTTCAGTGTTTTTTGCGTCTTTTAGTTATGAAGGTTCAATCTTACAATATGCTAGTGATAATGACGTCAAAGAAGGCTTCATTAGATATATGAACTTTGAAGGAGTCGCTTAAAAATGGATTCATGGTATTCAATTTATCATATGCAATGTACATAGGGAATAACCATATTCCCAGATGGCATTCATGAAAACATTTTTGAGTGACTGTTTCAAAGTTTGTATTTCTAATGAAGCCTCCCTTTGGTACATCATTATGATCATTAGCAAATTGGAAGAAAAACTCAAAGACGCAAAACTGAAATGCAGAAATATTTCTTCATTAAATTATTTACTTTATATATAGAATCAGCTCACAAGAATCAAAAAATTATTTTGTCAGGCGTCATAGGCATTTAAGTACAAATAAGATTGAGAAAACAAACAAAAATGATTAGTTATTGATCGGTCGCTTTTTGAGGTAAAAACTCATCTCTGCTAAGGCATTATTTCACAACAAAGGTCCTTTTTAGAGGGACCATAATACTTTCAGAATTTCTGACTTTCAACCAAATACATTTGGTTAATATCAAAGTGGATTGAAAATGTTTTACAATTGATATTGGCATTTACAATGGAAAAAAACATGCAAGCAAATAAAACATTAACAATGTTAGTATTAGCCATTTCTGAGTTATGAAATGAATTGTATTTTCTGTCATATTGAGCCAATAGAAAAACTAACCATATCACTAAAAAGACTTTATCGACTTTAGTGTAGGTACCAAGTTACAGATCATTTGGACAAATATTCAATTAATGAGAAGCCGTGCAATTTACAGAGAATGTATGGGGATTTTGACCGCATCCCCTAAAACAGTACATTCACTGTTAATTTGATGAAACTAGGAATAAATACTGTTCAGCTAGTTTTCATCCAAACATTTTGAAACTTGATATATTTACTAATTTTTGGGTGTCCTTTCATGGGGTGGGGTTTGTTTCGTGATTAGATCAATATTTCTTTGATTACTGCCCAGTCCCCTGCGCAACTCCGAAATGGCTAATAGTTTACAACATGTGCAGCCGTGTTGTATGGGAAATGAATAATAGACATTAATGAATTATTAGCAACTTTTATATTAAATGTGTGATACAGAAAAAATTTGAAAAGATAAAAATAGAATATTGTCCAACCTCACAATATTCAGTTACAATGCAGAAACACTCTTGWTCCAGGAAGCTGTCCAGGTATTTGACAATATTGGGATGATTGAGCTGAGGATTAAGGAAACAATATGGTGAGAGAGCTGCTACTCTATGACTATTTTCATATTCTTTTCAATTTTGGAAAGGCAAATTCTATGATTGAAAAGGTCAATAGACGAAACATGTTTCATTGAAAGTCTTGGTCTTTTAGTGTGTCAAAAGAGATTGTTTAGAAAACAAAAACAAGTTCACATGTACCATGAAGCAAATTCTATTTGTTACAAGTTTAAAGATTTCTAGTTTTCAATTCACTCACATTGGACAATAATTTGGCTTCTCTCATAGCATCAACAGTTTCATCTGGCTGCAGTTCTCCAACATATATCTCCTTTAGGCATTTCCTGAACAACACCATAATAGCATGCATTAAATTAGATTATATATTATTCARTCATTTAAGTACAACCTATATGCAATAAAAGTGCATGTTAACATGATCGTGCAATGAATTTATTTTGATTTTGTATATCACATCAGTGTATGTCAAATCAATACACGACTCTCATAATGGCTGACACTAATTAGCATACTATCTCTCAATTCATAAAGTTGACAAAAGAAAACACTCCAATGGTAGATATCAAAGCCAAAGATAAAGTTTCACAGAGAAATATCAAATCCGCTTGAAGTTATCAGGATTAGAAAAGGTGTGAAAACACCAAAACGAGGCTACCCAGTCACAAGCAAAGAATTTCATACAAAACCATGTATTTTTATTCCTCCATAACTGTTGTTATTATTTAGTTTATGGCATTAAAACTCTCCATGAATAGAGTAGTTCTTCGGTATGACAGTGTTGAATGTTTCCATAATATTATAATTAATTGTATCGATGGTTGGCACTTATGAAAGTGGTCTATTAACTACATGTACAAATACAAGACCAATACTAACATTTGAAACTAATTGCATATTCTTTTTTAGTTCACCAAAATATACCTTATTACAAATCCAGCATTCTGATTGTCTACTGAACWAATATATTAAATATGTTATTTACACTGCCCGAGGCCTTAACAGTACGGACCAAGTGCATACCAGAGGTTCGTACATGAAAGACCAAGGGCAGTGTTTTCATGTACGGACAGACCTTTAGCTGGTCAATAACATTTTTATTATTTTTTTTAATTTGTATTTTCTGCAACTTTGCTCGGTAYCTAGCTGCGGGATACCGTGGACTGGGCAGAACTTGAAATATCGGACTGCGCGTTAGCCAATCACAGCGCGCGAATGACTAGGATAGCGGACCGGAAAAAAACTAATATCCTTATTACGCTGGTTACCAGGCAATAAATGTACACTTTACACCTCGGTTCACTTTATATCGAACTATAAATTCCGAGTCGATATTTAATCAATTAAAAGCACTGAATACGTGATCAATATATGAAGTCAAACGGGCATGCATGCATGTCTGCTACTGTTATTTTGTCTTCAATAATCTTTGATAATTGTTAAGTTTAAGTTAAGCTTAAGCTTATTGGACCAAAAAACTGTTTTGAGCTTAATATAAAGATGCTAACTTAACTTACTTAGCTTGCTTATAGCGTATTGTAGAGATATATTGCAGTCACTGCGATCTCAAATTGATTTATTCAACCACAAAGACTGCTAGTTGCAAATGAAGATTATAAGCTAAAGTTTTACTATCGAGCTCTGGCAGCTTCCATGCGTTATCWTATAAACTTACCTCTCTCCGTTTGATTCGGTGTCTTTAACAAGAAAAACTGTTCCAAAATTCCCACTCCCGAGTTTTTTGATAACATGATACCTATTAACATACACACGATCATAATCTTTGGAGGGATTCCTCCCYTTTGGAATAGACTTTGGTAAAGGCATTTTCGTACAGCATGTCACCGTCTTCGAGTCTTCGTCGCCTTTGCTCTGTGATTGCACGGGCTTCCTGTGGTTATCGACAAGCCCACAACATATTTTCAATATGGCGTCTGGTCGTTCTCAAGCTACGCCAAGAAAGATCAAAATAGGCGCTGGTTCCGTGGTTTGTCAAGAGGTAGAAATCAAAGGCGAAGTCGTTATTGGGTCTAAAACTGTAATTCATCCTAAAGCTAGAATTATCGCTGAAGCAGGGCCAATTATCATCGGCGACAATAATTTGATTGAAGAGCAAGCGACCATCATAAACCCTTCTTTAAGGGAAGGAGATGAAGGGGAAGAGAAAATCGTAATGACCATTGGAAACCACAATGTGTTCGAAGTAGGATGTCAGTGTGAAGCAGTCAAAGTCGGGGATAACAACATCTTGGAAGCGAAAAGCAAAATTGGTCGCAATACGTTGCTTTCTCATGGGTGTGTGATAGGAGCGAAGTGTGAAGTGACTTCGCAGGAAACTATTCCAGAAAATACTGTTATCTATGGGCAAAGCTGTAGTCGTAGGATACAAGCAGAAAGACCTGTTCCACAGACTTTGCAATTGGACTTTCTAACCAAGATTTTGCCAAATTATCACCACTTGAAAAAATCAAGCCGTTCATGACTGAATTAAAGTTAATATAAGCTTAACTTATATTAACTTAACCTAATTTATTTATTTGGATTAGCATTGGATGCAGGACCAAAAGTAATGCAGTGGGTATTAATGATTCAAGGTAGTCAACATTTGCAGTTCAATTCAACTCAAGGTCTCATAACAGGTTGTTTTCCAAGAAGATGAGTGAATATGATGATCCATAATCTTCTAACCTCTAAGTGCTGTTTGCCCTGGCAACCTTTGTTAAGTAAGAGTTAATTGCCGAGAATGGAAGCTATAAGCCATATTCATCCCAATGGCTTACTGCCAACATTTGAGGTAATAAGTTCTTTATTGTGCCATTGAAAAGGTTTTAACAGAACAATGAAATATAACATTGGTAATGCCACAGGGAGCCCAAGCAATGACTTACCAATTCTTGGCTTTCACTGATCAAAAAAAAAAGCTATTAGCAAAAATTTATTGTCCACGAGAGAACATATAAGCTTTTGAATATGGTCCTACTTTACAAAGAAATGTATGGGAAAGYCATGATAGTATACTAATCTTGAACACCAACATGGCAGACAGTAATTCCAAGTCTCAAATTGAGTTCAAAAATAATGATTTTGCTTTACCTTTGCAWCAATATAATTGTAAACATTCAATTTGGTGTCAAGGCTTTTTGAGGATTTTTGGCATTTATCAAGTCATGTGACAATATTGTGTGACATATTTTTGAATGTCAATAACTCATTGAATTTACATCAGAAAAGTTTAAACATTCAGAGGGAACTTCTTTCATGCTCTTCAAGATATTTCAGTACTACAATGTTGTGTGTCTGTGATTTTAGAATTTTTTTCGACTGATGATGTAATGTGAAAGCCAAGAATAGTCATCTTATGTCAAGTCAAAGCTCCTTCATCTCAGATGGTAATGCATTTTAAAACAAAAGTAGTATCTATAGGACTGGATGGTGAATCAAATAGTATATATATATATAGTATATCAGGAACTAGAATGTTGTACATGTACTTTACAGATATTAGAGATATCAACAAATAGTAACTAAAAACAATTCAGGTCTCAGTTGGTGTAATTAATCTACAATCGTTGACAAAATCCTTGGACCATTCCAGCAAATTTCCCCATTTTAAGCAACACCCGCAGACAATTTCATCCCCCCTGACCCCCTWAATGCAATGTTSTCAWTSATCATGTTACCATAGTACACAASCATCCAAAACAAGACCCAACATTGATGAAAGGGGGCTAAGGGGGAAAACTGTCAAAAAATAAAGGAGAAAAATGTAAGGCTGGAGACAAATAATTGTACGGTCCAAGGTATTTTGGCAACGATTGTAGGTCCCCCCCAAAAAAACGTTTTTCTGATTACTTAAACTGCCCAACTACATCTTAGATGGCTTTTGACCCATAGCCAAGCTGTGCATTTGGCTTAAACTACTCAATGCTGAAGAATGTGTCCTGTCATTAGACAGGCCTGATTATATAATGGTGTAAACTAGCGGTAAACTAGTGTGAGCTGCGTCGGTGTTTCTAAAGAATCAGTTGTGTAAAAAGATAAATTTAAGATCTTAAAAAAAGTATTTCACATACTTTTTTGTGTTAAATTTATCTTTTTACAAAACTGATCATATGATGCACATAGGGCATTTAACCCAAGGAGCCACTGTTAGAGTATACCGTGACCATGAAATAAAATGGAAATACTAGTTATYTTAAAAATAGAGTAGTTGGAGTGAGGGCATTATGCTGTGGTAGTTGTCTATGGAAACGTGATGTCCATTAAAGCTCTAAAGTGCAAAGATTACAATTCCCATCATGCTTTGCTGCACAAAGTATTAGCGCTGCAAATTGCCTATTACAAACATTGTTTTGATTAATTGCATAGCAATAATACAAACAGTAAAGTCAAAACAATACAAGTCCATTGAAAATGTTTTTTAGGTGGACAACCTTTTTAAGCCGGTTGTATGTAGCCGCTACATTGCTAAAGTGGAAAATCATACAACTTGCAGCAAACATCAAGACGTCTTTATTATTACATCGCAATACATTAACAATTTAATGTGGATTTTGTTCTTATTCAGAAACTGAAAAATACATTGAATGACATTTCCAATGTGGTATGTGCGTTACAATCTTCCGGTTATCGTTGGTCTGGGTCACGCAACGCTTGTCATAGTAGTGGCCATCCTGTGACACAATCAAAGSAGTGTTATTCTTATRAGAGAGCAACATGCTATTTGTGAAAATGMAATAACGTCTAACAGCGAACAGTGAATGGCCGGGTTGTTTTGAAACATTATTTTTTTAATATTATTAGATCAAATGTTTTTGTCATTTTTAGAGGCCTTCCTTAGAGTACATGGGACGAATTAAACTAGACTAAACTATTCAAAGTTATTGGTTTGCGTACTAAAATGGCATCATTATGAAAYATCACTAGTGAATCGTTTTGTGATATAAATAGCTCACTAAAAGTAATTTCTCTGTCAGTGGAAAAAACGTTTAAAAACTTTCTAACGTACTTCCTAAATTAGTGAAAAAAGCGGAAAAGTTAGTGACGCCTCTCAAATGAACAAAAGAATAARAATTATGACATGCCCCCCCTCCCTTAACTGAAAGAATAGAAAAACCTTCCCATCTTCCTCAAAGTTACAATACTGTCTAACCAGACTAACTAGGGCCTAACTGAATGCTTATATCGGCTTGCGGTACGATGTGTAGAGGGTGGCTTTACCTTCACCCCATGCATTGACTAAGAGTACAGCGATATCGCCCCGGACGGGGGGGTACTTTTTAATAAAAAGGGCGGGGTCCTCGTYGTCCCTTTTAAGGGTTTGAAATCATTGTTTTAGTCCCGCTTAGGATGACTATGACGAGAATTCCTACCAACTGTGGTTCTGAGTTCTGCTCTGAGTTACGACCACCCTAAGCCGTCATTACAAGATCAACAACAACCACAACGTCGTCATAAACTCAATACGAGCCGATGGCACTTGATGATTGTTTAACAACACAAATAAAATCAGGAAACCAAAACTCAAAATGACCTGTTATTGATTGGTCCCTCTTAGGGGTGAAATTTCAGCGCTGCCACGCCCATCATCTCACAATACAGRTCCCTTTTAGGGATCATTTTCAGAATTTCCGACGAGGACCACCGCCCCTTTTATTAAGGAGTCTCCACCCTCTTCCCCACCCCCCGCGGATTGCACGTTCTGAAAATGTTGACCGATACATTGACTATGGGTCCGGCTCTGTAAGGTTATAGGATGGTAGACTAAGCCCTTGAGTATACCTTATTTGAATATCTAAAATGACGATATGACAATTCAGGTGATGAATGTCCCAGGTTTTTAGTAGAGTTAATTTTGAAAGTTTTAATCGATCCGACTTTGAGGGACTGCGGAGTTGGGGGGATTTTTAGGGGATAGTTTTTTTTTACGAGRATTTTTCCCACGAAGTGACCAAGTTATAAAATCATCTAACTGGTTACTCCTTTGTGGAGTTGTGCGATCAGTTGTAATTTAAAGTTTTGTGAATCGTTTACAACATTCGCGTCCTCGTACAACCAACCGTACAGCCTCGTTCCCAGRACCTTATCTCTTCGCTTGAGGTCAGGCGGGAAAAGGTCCTGGAGTAAGCTGGCCAAACACCCTAAAATTCTRGGACCAAGCGAAGGGATTAGTCCCTGGGAACGAGGTTGGTYCTCGTAGCCTGAGGAGCTCGAGCTTCATGCGTGTGACCAAATTCGGGATAATCCAATTGCGAGTGAGCTGGAATCATCATACCTGTGTGCAYCCTGCATTAAAGACATAACGGCCATCGCTAACAGGTCTTCCTTCCTCAAACATACCAATAAAACTATAGGTAGGGGTGATTAACTTGCCCGGACCTGACATTAGGCCATATTCCCAGTTACCTATATTGTAATGGATGATTGTTGTGAGCTAACAGTCTTCAAGCATATMTATCGAAAAAATGTAGTTATCGAAGATATTGGCGATTGTTGATTGACGATCGCAACTTCGTCCTCACGCGGCTCCGRCCTTTTCGTGTTCARGCAGAAATCTAAGCGATAAGGGCTGGGGGACGAGGCTGTGACGACCGTATGGAACTATAGCTACAGAATTATTCAAAATGCTCTGTCGTGTTTATTTTGTGTTTACTCATTTCTGTTATCACCTTCATATTTTATGTTCTGGTCCTTGTACTTGTACTGTCCTTTACCATGACGTTTATCGTCTTTCCASCAGCCAACGTACTCATCACCATTAGTGTAGGTATAGGTGCCCTGTCCAGACCGGACACCATTCTTCCATTCACCTTCATATCTCGAACCATTTGGATACTGGAATATTCCCTCKCCYTCCCGTTTGCCTCTACAATATTGTCCTGTGTATCTGAATGCATCGAATGTACAATTGTAATTGAATATGATAAAGGAATAGTACAATGTTCACTAGCAAAGGTACATGGTTACGTACTTACTTTTGTCACTAGTTATCGGTAAGTCTAGTTTTTAATGGACTAACTAAGCTGCTTGTGTTCATACAAGCTATTTTTTAGTGCGCATAGCGTACATTGCAAATGCTAATTAAAAGTCATTAATGATTAATTAGCTTAGTTGCGCTTTTTCGTCATCAATTGTCACTGTAATTCATTTTTAGATTTTGAGTTTTATAAGTTGTCTAAAACATTCGCGTSCGCGTTGCATGGGTATTTTAATACCATGGTATGCGGGAAAACAAATCARTTTTTATTATTGTCATCACAACCGCACAAATGTGGACAATCAAACTCCACTAAAAGGCACCATACGCAGCACCGTACCACTCATGTCGAAAAGTCCTATTGCTTTTTAACATTGACAATTTTTGCGACGGATWTATAGGTTTGAAAAAAACGTTTGACTGTACATACAAAATATCAATAGACTTACCTTGCATTAGATATATTTTTAAAAGTGTATATGCCAAACCCATGTCGTTTTMCATTTTCAAACTTTCCTTGATAAATATCGCCATTATAATAGACCGCTCGTCCTTCTCCGTGTCTTTCACCATTTTCGTTCCTCTCTCCATCGTACTCTCCTATCCCAATAAACATTTCTTCTGTAGAGTCTGCTTCATATATATCGTAATCCGTCATGTTCGATTCTTGGAAMATTCGAACGATTATTATCTAGCGACGTCAATTTGTGTTGATGACGTCGATAACGCATGCATAGTTACGCGCATGCGCGGAATCTCGTACACATAGCCCACACTTTTCCCGGCCAGCGGAAGTCAATGTATGAGACCCTCTGGAAAATTGCGTTATTTCTCGATTCGATACGAATGGTTGAAAATGACGCGAGCGCGCATTATTTTCACGATGGGTTTTCAAGTCGCTCGCTCGCATCTTTTCAAAGCAAATCATGCTTGTCTATCATTGTCACGCATGTTTTCACACTTGTTTTCAAGTGTGTAGTTACCAACCCTAACCTATATTATTTGCTAAACCTTTTTCTTTTTTGTCGTTATAATGCTCAAAAACGGAAAACAAAATTTACCTCATTTGCATAATTTGCGACGGAAAAGCGTAGGAAATTCAATGGATTACCTCAGACTCTTTGCGGTGTCAGAATGCCRATGACATTGACCGTAAAGACTCTGGGGCCGAGACTGGCATGTGCGTCGTCCATATCAACTTGCAAACAAGACGCGATGGGAACAAAAAAAAGTATACAAGGAGACGACGGGGAAAGAAATCAGAAAGATCCATTGAAAAATCTGAAATCCAGGACCGATATAACCATAAAAACATAGGGGGCAAACTCTTAGTCTAAACCTATGACTTGAAAGAGGGCTAGATTTCCAAGTCAATCAACAAAGGAGAGGGGGGCACAACCCTCTCAAAGTCCTTTTAGATTACTTTGAGTGGCATTAGTTTAGAATTGCTCAAATGCATCAAACGCCCACAAAGACTATAAAGATTACGGCGACTACACTCCGGAACCTAGTGAGTCAAAATCGATCAAAGGCAAATATAGAACTGTTCCCTCTATTCAGCCAAAAGAAAAGACGAATTGAAGATAAGATTTAAAAAAATGAAACAAAACAAAACAAAAATTTGAATYCTYAAGGGAGGAAGACCACCAATTTCAATTTTTAATCCAGCCAAACGAAAATAAGAAAAGTCTTAATGCAAAATATGTTATTTTCAAGGAGTTGACAATATCCTCCAAAAGAGGAGTAAGATAAAAAGTTCCAGACAACAACTTTCATTCTGGAGTAGATTTAAAGTACTACTTGACGAAAATTGCGAAACATTAGAAAAGACTTGGAAATCAAATATAGCTATCCATATGGGTCTAATAATCATGAAGCAACATATTTCAAGAAGATATTGATACAAATCCAATAATTTGGGCAAAAACAATTGGAGTAAATGACGTCATTTACTCCATCCTTTTGTTCTTCTCTGATGTAAGATATTTCCAAAACAAATATTTTCTCACAATTTTTTTAATGGATATAAATGAGTCATAATATAGAAATGAGAGAAAGTTATAGTGCTTAGAAGGAGGCAATTCCGGGAGAAGTCCCTTAGGAATAAATTCGGAAAATTAATTTCCGACCTCGCTGGGATTCGAACCCACGACCTTCGGATTTGTACACCGATGGTCTACCAGCTGAGCTACAAGGCCAGACTGGGAGCAGGTCGGGGTGAAATAGATGTTAATTCTCCCGGAATTGCCTCCTTCTAAGCACTATAACTTTCTCTCATTTCTATATCGTGCTTATCATAGTGCCATGCGGTCTTCATATTCATATCTTTAAATGAGTCATATATTCAATTTTGTATTGCTTGATGTTTTGAAATAAGGGCATTTTCACGGCAAGTAGCACTCCAACACTCCMCTTGTAACTTTTATTGCACCGGCCCCTTTGGAGTAATTTGACATTTKAGGCTAACACAGAACAAACCAGAACTTGATATTGTTGCATTCTTCAACTTTTTGCAGAATACGGCCTATGTGGTCGTACGTAGGGCAGCGAGTCCCTGAAAGAATACCGACACAGTTACACTGCCTGTGCATGTGTTTTCGTTCGATTGGGCTTCCTGTGGTCTATTTGTATTATGACATCAACAAACGTGTTGTCATGGTAATGCCCCAGTGCTCCCATTCGGCGGTCAGTTCGTGCATATGCAAAATTTTCAATGGCTTTATGATGCTTCATTTTATCAAAATATCGATATTTTTAACCTGTAAATAGCAGATTTCTTCGAATTTTCTTAAAGGTGAGACGTTTTTTTATTGTATTATCGATTTTCGTTAAGATCAGTAACTTATAGAGGTCAGTTAAACGGTGTCAATTTGTCATCAGTAGATGTTTTTTTGTAGATGGTGCGATTTCTACACGGAACGAATCAGACAGAAACTTCGTCCAGAAACAGCGCCAGTGTCTTGATTCCCCAGAGGGAACGAAAAAATGGCTGGACTTGTCCTTGGCATCCGCTTCAATTGATCGCTTGGTTATTTCTTATTTTCTTCGCCGTCTCGTATTTTGGTATATTCGCGTTTTACCTGCCCACCGAATGGAGGCCAGCAGCTTTGATTGTATCCTTTGTTTGTATATTAGCGCAAGTAAACTAAATAATTTAATTTTTTATTGGTCAGTGAGTGATCAGTGACAATATATTCCATTTCTTATTAAATTTATTTGACTTGAAGGACAATGTTGCTATTATTTAGCTTAAGGCTTGTGCACAATTTGTTAAATATTTGTTAAAATTATTAGGTGTTAAAGAGAYTGATGTGAGTATTTTGCCAGTAGTTTGAATACAAGCATCTTCTGGCTGTAAAATGATCAATAAATCAAATACAGCATAAGGCATTGGCCAATAGGAAAGATATTTGCTAATTTGAAAACAGGATCAGTGATATATGATGTTTTCAACCTTCCTCTGAACTCAAGAGCATAATTAATTCAATTGACAAGTGAGATGATGGACTGCAGTGTCTGTGTTTACATCTCGTCTCAGTTCTTGATAAAATCGTTTCTTTCAGTATAGTGGAAGTCTTTCAGCCAACATTTGCTCAAACTTTCAAGTGTTAACATGTATAAACAGTCCATTGAGTAGCCCTTATAGTGTTTTTAGTTGTGGTTTTCTTGTGAAATTTTGATAGTATTACCTACAGCATAGCAAAAAGCAGCTTTGCTCAGCAAAAACTTTTACTTGCTTATAATCCTTGTAGGTTTTTATTCAAGAACTTTGAGCAACCATCAGATCAGCCCAATACAGCAGTTATATGATAAATGGGATAGATCACTTTATTATGACCAAAATCATGCAAAAGCTAAACTTGTTTTTGCATCATTTTTTAAGATATAATTTGGCTATTTTCATCCAAAGATTGAATTCGTTTTCAGAAAGAAAAAAAATCATAATTCATGCCAAAGGTATAATGGGAACCTGCTGTTGCATGTAATGTTTTGTAATGTGAATTTATGACTTTCCATAACAATGTAATTTAGGTACCTGGTGGTCTTTATATTRTACATATTGTTGCTCACACACTAGCACTTTCAATTGATCCAGCTGACCCTAACATACGAGGAGGAGGGAATGGGAAAGGGATCTTTGACCGTAAYATTCATGCCCAYGTCATAGAGAATGATCATTGTCGCATATGTCAAGCAGATGTGTAAGTATTCACCCTATTAACAAATATTGTCAGATTCAAAACTGTTGATGTATACATCACTGAAGCTACATGACTGTACAATCAGTTGTTTTAATATCAGACAGTGATGATGATGATGTTATGTCATGTGATTGTGGGACAATTGGGTGCAGTTCTCCTGAATTKACTTTTTGTAAATCAAACTCAGCCAGCAAACTACTTCACTAGACATTATTGACATGTCCATCATGTTATTTGGTGTCACATATCATAAGTCACATAGCCACTAGTAACAATTTGACAGTCATATAATTCCAGATACCACATTTAAATCTGCAGATAGTAATACTTTCCGAAACATTTGGGTGGGAAATTCACTAATAGCTCAAATGTTTTGGCAAGTAGTATCTGGAATTAGTTTCCAATTCACTTGGTTTTCTTTGTTATTCATAGGGTTGTATATACCATAGAAACTTAAAGCCAGGGAGGGATTTGATAATCAGCAGGGAAATGTGGGGTTGATGAATTGAATTGAATAGCTAGTTATAAATTCAGCGGGCTATATATGAGTGACCGGAATCACTCATATATAGACCGCTGAATTTATAACCAGCTATTGGATTCAATTCATCAACCCCACATTTCCCTGCTGAATATCAAATAAACTTAGTAAACTAAACTATTTTTTCCGTTAAAAAGACCAGAGTGTGACTAGCAAAACTTGACGGGAGATTGAGCGCGTAATAAGTTCGAGTCCCGCAGCTTTTCTTCGTGTTCATCAGAGAAAAGAAATAACAATAACCATCTTCGTTACTTTTAACTAAGAATCTATACGTCGAAATTGGGACAACGTGTATGAATCAGAAGTAATAGTGTAACTCGTATTTCTCCGGTCCTCGGTCCATTCTATCCAAGCACGTACACACGGCCATTTGGTACTTTAGTTTGTTCCTTCTGGAATCCTTCCCTCGTATTTCTTTGAGCGAGTTCACCATCAGAAACTATTGTAATTTTTCTCTTGTTTTTCTCATCTGCAAGACTTTGTCATCGTTATATTTGCGGGCAGAGGCATACGGAGTTCCAAATCCGACTCAAATAGTCAATATCAAAGTTTGGCAAAGGAATGATGTCAAACGTATTTTGAGCTATACAAAAATCGTCGTCACTGTTCGACATCGTTTCCAGAATGACTGTTAAGAATATTTGATAACGATATTCAAATTTCGATTGATCGCTTTCGCATGAACAGGTTTTCTTAAAGGAAACTAATTTCAAAAGTCCATGAAAAGGTCTCGAGAGGATTCTATTGTTCGAATCCCAACTAAGAAAACATTCATTTAGTCTATTCAGTCTTTGCGAAAACCACGTGATTTGAAAACTAAGTTTGTTAGTTACCTCGCACGTCGGCATTACGCTATATACAGCCCTCGGGCCTGCGGCCCTCAGGCTGTATATAGTGTAATGCCTCCGTTCTCGGTAACTAACTCTTACTTATTGTAGACTTTTTATTGTTGATTTTTTCTGCTGAAATATTTCAGAATTTTTTTACTAATTACCGTATTTACCCATGTATAAGCCACTCTCGTAGATAAGCCGCACCCCGAGTTTTAGGGGCGTTTTTGAGGGGGGAAAAAGACAGAAAATAAACTTTTCTATTTTTGATCGCCACTTGCGAACACAGCTTTCTTTGATTTTAAAGTGCTTTTCCGCTGCTCGATTTCCGTGATCCAAATTAGCATTGCGTTACCACAACAACTCCAAGACAAAACGATTCAAAATGCTATCTGTTCATTGGCTCAATAACCACACACTTTTCAGTGAATTATTGACTGGTGTTTCTCAGGGCTAGATTTTCGTAGAATTTATAGTAATACTGAGAAGTTTGGATTACAATTTCTGTTCTCACCGTCCTGTCTGCAGTAATTAAGTAGCACCGTGAATGCTATTTATGCAACTAAGTTTTTATCGGGCATTTGTACGAGTCTTCTCGTAGATAAGCCGCACCCCCGATTTGGGAACGATATTTTGGAAAAAAGTGCGGCTTATACATGGGTAAATACGGTATTTGTAGTTTTTTAATTTGTAGGGTTTTTTTYCTATTTTTCCTGATATCTATCAGAAATATTTGTGTTAGTTCAGGTTCAATATATTTTTGAACCAGTTTAATCAAATTTGTTCCAGTACAAGACTTCTTGTACTGGTCTATTTTTTTTTTTTTTTTTTTTTTTTTTTTTGCTTTGGCATTCTTAAAAGAACTATATCCCATTTTCTATCTATCATCTTATTTTCTACCTTCTACTATTTCCTACTTTATCTTACCCTATACCCCACAGAAATATTGATATTTTCTATATTTTTAATGTATGTATAACACTTACCTTCATCAGGGTTTAAACCACTGAACTCTTGCTTCATAGTCCACAGTACTACCAATTATGCCATCAAGGATTTTGTTGGTAGTAATGTTTGCAAATTGTTTTTATCTTAATTGTAATTTATTAATGAAGAACATTTTTATATAATGCTGGCTCAACCCTATTCCCAACCCTAAACCTAACTCTAAACCTAACCCAAAACCTAACCCTAAACCTAACCCTAAACCTAACCCTAAACCTAACCCTAAGCCTAACCCTAAACTGATTTGTACTAGATTGTATATATTGGACTGGCTCAAAATAAACTGAACCAGTTCAGAAGAAATTGAACTGGTTCAAAATCACATTGAACCTGAACTACAACATATTTATTGTTTCTATACTGTCCAATAGCCTACCTTCAATATTCCTGTTGAATGGGCATGCACAAAAGAACTTGACAAGATGAGGCTCTGGGGGAACAAATGTCTTGTCTTCTATTTCTCCATAGCCTTGTCTTCAGTTATTTTGTGCAAGAACATTCAACTACAACAATATCAAAAGTGAGTGATCATCAAATTGACACAATTTTCTGTATTCTGTATTTCATCCATATGAAATGTCATTAGGGGAAGGAAGCTACATCAAGGACAATTTATTGTCATCAATACACTAACATATTTGCGCATCCTACAAACCTGAGTCTCTTATTAACACCCCTCCCCTTGACCATCACATGTTCATCATAACTAACTATGTTTATATATGCTGATAAGGAAATTAAATTTTTAACATTGGCAGCAACACATTTTGCCCCCCATTGTAGACGTAGCCTGATTGACGGCAAAGTGTCTGATAAATCATTTGACATAGACAGCAAATTTTCTGGTTAACCGAAATGCAGTAATGTCTTGTTAACTGATTGAGTTTGACAGCAAAATGTCTGTTTAACCTGGTTGACCAAGATAGCAATAATATTATTTGTTTGAGTTATTCATTGAACTTCATTTTTTATGACAATGTACAGGTACCCAAAGAGTAAACACTGTTCAACTTGTAACAAGTGTGTAGCTGATTTTGATCATCACTGTAAATGGTTAAACACCTGTGTAGGTGGTCGTAATTATAGGTAAGTCACTGGATCATTGTCTAATTTCCAYGGAAAGACCTTACAAGAAAGAATACTAGTCAAAAAGGACATGAAAGAGAAATGATTTTTAAAATTAACACAACACTTTGTGTTAACTGTGACATCATTTGTTCTTTTACACTCATTTTGAAAGAGAAATGCCTGTAATTCTAGAGGTAATGATTTCCATCTTTGTTTCAGGATATTTGTAGCTTGTATTTCGTCAGCCTTTTTAGGTGCCTTAGTGATGTTTGTTGTCACAATTTATTTACTTGTTAATTGTTTTACTGACAAAGAATCTCTTCTAAAAACGCAATCGGGTGAGTACATAGATATGGGATATTTTTATGTCCTGCTATGTAATTATATTACAATAAGGTTAACTAATAGTCCTTATTTCATACTTGATTCAGTTTTCTTTGTTATTCATAGTGTTGTATCTCGCTTATTCCCYAGCTCGTTGTGTATTCAAATGCTTTATATCAAAGTTTCAGGGATATATCTAGATATCGCCCCCATTTGAGGGCAATATCTATATATTGCCCTTGCTATATATTGCCCTTGAATACTAATGTATATTGCCCTTGAATACCTAATTAACTACTACGTTCAACTTAGAAATTTTCTGTCTGAAACTTTAAACTTGAAAGAAAGAAAGAAAAATTCAAATGACACCTAGTAGATTCGAACCCACAACCTTAACACGTTATGCTAACTGACTAATTGATGTTAGTTCTGGAATAAAACAGTTATTTAACATTGTCCAGTTACTTGTTACAAAGTACAAGTTTCAATACTGTAAATTTCGTAATCTTTCTAAACRAGGGTTTGGTTTTTAATTCATATGAAAACGGCTTCTTTGCCTATTTAAATATGAAAATATTAATGCAGTGCTTGGAAAACTTCTTCAAGTATGAAATAAGCCAGTTATATACCTCGAACGTCGGCAATCAGCCTATACATCCCTTGGGCCTACGGCCCTCGGGATGTATTAGGCTGATTGCCTCCGTTCTCGGTATGTAACTCTTACTTATAGTTAGAGAAAATTAGAACAAAAAAGAATAAAAAAAAAAAAGAAATAATATGTTTGTGCAAAAATACTTATTTTAATTATTGGAAGAAAAACCATGAAAATCAATGCTGACGAGATATGCTTATTCCAATTTTGCAAAAATACATACATGTACGCACAAAAATTGATGCGAATAAGGTACTYGTGCGAGCAGCATTTCCATATAGAGTTCACGATATAAAAGCATGAAACAATTCTTAACTACGTAGCACTAAATAAGATTTAGTTAAGAACTATGTAGGAATATAGCATTCAACTAGTATAAAAGAAACAAATGAAGTGCAACATAAATTAAAGGTGTTTTTTTCTTTGTGTTTATGCCTCTGRGTCTGACAAGAATGTGATCTTTTTCTTCACAGATGGCAAGTTTAAATTATTTGTACCAGTATCTAAAACTGCGTTTATTATATTTGTTGCTATCAATGGAGCCCTATATTTGTTAGCCATTGGTCTATTAGGACATCTRCTAGGATTTCACTGTTATTTAAGTAAGTACAAAATACATAACTATGAGTTAAATTATGTCAGGAGTAATGGGCTCCTGTTACGTAGAGTATGCACACTTGTAATAAATAGTTCTAATTTCTCCATAACGTGATCATTTACGATATTATATTACATACAAACGGGTATATAACTTGGACATTATCGCTTGTGTTTTTTCAGTGTATCTGAATATAAGTACCTATGAATATATTGTCAATGCAAGAGACAAAAAAAGGATCGAAGCTGAGACTGCTTGTGAAAGGGACACTCCAATAAGTCTCAGACGGTTTAGGGTAAGGCACATAAATCATTGGTACACTCTGGGTATGGGTAGGAGGCTAAAGTGAGTGCCAATATAGATTGGCTATGGTGTTGATAATATTTGTAACATCAAATGCCTTCTACTCCTTCTGCCAATGATGATTCCAAACTACATCCACACTAATACATTTTCTGTTTCTATTTTTTCCGTTTTCCATTTTTCTAGAGTTAAAAATTGCATTTGAGCAACAAAATCAGCATTCGCATTCGCATTCGGCGAAATTCGTTCTCATTTCTGTTATCTCAGTAGTTCCCCATTTTTCAATTCACAGTTCGMGCCATGGCTCTCTCAAAATTTGATGATTTAGATTAATTGTACTTGAGTGAATTCGGAAGTGTTTGATGTGTGCTTGACAAGTGTAATAAAATTAAATGCCACTATTGTCTCAATATTGACCTTAGTATTACCTTTTCTTCTCATCAAACAGAATAACAAAGTTCAGCCATCTTCTGATGGGATGGAGAATGGAGAATTAAGGTACTGTTTTCCTAGTTTTGTGTTGTTGTTTTTTTCCATTCCTTTGTGTTGACTTTACAATATATATCTAATTACATTGGGTTGTACTAAAACTGCTTAAAAATCATAGTGGTGGGTCATCTAATCAAGAACACTCTACACCATCAGTGCAGCATTCAGAATCCACTATTAAAGTCATGAATGAAATAAGTTCAAAGGTAATGTAAAATGCCTGACAGTATCAATGTCCGACACTATCGAAAGACAATATAATAGAAGACATCAAAATATCAAAATTAAGCTCAAAGTAAAGGTATACGAGGCAACGAAATCACGCGGRAAGATCATACAGCTTGTCTCGTAACATAGCTGTAAAGCGAGGTGGAAAGCAATATTGTTCCTTTTATTATCAGTGTACGGCGAATTAGGTGATCTCATTCGTACCCTAAACGATACAATTAAGTTAATACTGAAAAAAATTATATTTTTAAAGTGCCTATGTTTTTATCTTCAAAACAGCATTAAATTTAAGAGAATACTGGCTTTTTAAGCTCTTTTGACTTTTTGTTAAAACAAAGTATTTCTGGATGCAGGCTCCAACTTTTTTAGGGAAAACTACTAAAGACAATTACATGTGAGTCGGGACTCGTTTTTTGAAAAAAAGAATGAAGAATGACAGGCACAGCGCAAAGTGGTTTCTTGGTCTTATTTTTGACCTATCACGAAATTTGGCGGAAATTTCAAAAGCAGAGATGACGATCGCTAATGACTCAAATGGGTGTGCAAAAATACGTGAAGCGTTCGACCATAGTTAGTAGAGGGAGACAGTCTCTCTCTACTAACTATGGTTTGACAAAYAAAAAACAAATACAAAAAAATACAGGGTACTAGGGTCCACTAGGACCGAGTCAGTGCCTGATTATACTGGCTCGGTGCAACAGGGTTGGTTTCTTTTGCTTTTTTTTYCCTAAAAGAGGACACAGAACAAAAGAACCCAGTCAACTGGGCCATACAAACAAGACCATTGAGATTATTATTTTTGATTTACTAGGCTGTTAAGCGTAATTCATCGAATACATTGCATAACAACCACCGCATAAGCTTAGAAGAAAATCCAACAGAAATGACAATCCCACAAGAACAATTATCTTCAGAATCACTTCGAGAATCCTCAGGAAAMACTTTACCTGTTGTAACAGTACATTCAGCTCTACCTCTAGAAAAACAAAGCCATYTAAGGCTAGCAGCAAAATCAAAGCAAGATTCAAGTGAAAGCGAGGGTGAAGAACTACAACCTGTAAGCARGTTACCTRCGCATCCCAAGCAAATGGAAAGTACAATCACCAATGTCACTAATAAACAAGAGAAGAAAAAGAAGAAGAAATCTCCACGTAGAGCTAAGAGTCCTGAGCTTCCACCATTAAGACCATTACCAACTTTGAGCACGTATAGCAACTTACAGCCTTGATGGTTGAAGTTATCTCGAAATACTGCCTTGCAGTCTAAACGCTATTTAGTATTATAAATAGATGTAAATATCTGTATGTAAATATTAAATTCAAAAATGTTATTTAAGTAAAACTAAATKAATTATGTACATGTAATTACATTGTAAATCTGAATAGAAGTATGAGGGATTCAACACTTAATGTACAAGGTACATAGATATATTTATGCACATAAAAAATATTCTTTTTGAGTATTGTGTATTTGAGTACGTTTTAAGGYTCAAGTTTTCTGGAAGCATAAGTTGAAAACCCCGTTTTCTGTATATGAAAACCCCAAACAGACGGGACCGTAGCCGGAAGGGCGTTTACAGAGGTACATAATAAAACAGAACTGACTGATTGTCAGATAACGTTCCACWGCTACACGTCTGTGCTGGGTCGACCACTACCGTCAGAACAAAGCTTGTGATCGAGACAACAACAAAAAGAATTGTAGGATTATGTCTAGTCTCGTTGTCTGGGTTAGGGTRGAGTTTTGTCTGTGATCGTATCTGCTCAGGCTACGCTTTCAGCGCTAAACTAATGTACCTTCGCACCTTTAGTCTCGGGAAGGGTGTGTAAAAAATCACAAAAATTGGTCTATGATAGGGTAGGGATTTTGAGGGTCGTCTGGCACACCGCCACCCATGGGGAGGTAGTACTCCCTCGGGGTCTACGGTCGTCCAAGAAAACATCTGGAATTCTCTGTTTCGCAGATACTCATCGAGAAGGGTTTGTCGTAGGACTTCCATATATGGTTGTGCATGTACAGCGCTGATGTGCACATAGAAGGCGCTGATGTGCTYGTAGAAGTCTCTGATGTCCCAATTATGTGGAGAAGAACTTTGAAAATTTCAAACACTTAAACTTAAGCCCCCTGGCGGTAYTCGACCACGTTTTGGATAGGTACGTGCCGCCAGCGGTCTAAATCCCTGACCCTGTTTAAGACACTAAAAAGTAAAAATCCATACCCTGTTCAAGAGAAATCGGAAAAATAAGGAATAGCTATCTACGCCGCAACCATCAAAACTGCAAATATACTGACATCCATCAAAGACAATAAGAAGTTTTTGATAACACGTTAATTCTGGGACAGTGAAACGGTATTTCTACTATTTCTACGACACACAAAAAAATTATATCGGTCTCTTTTATCTAAATTATAGAGCCTGTTTAAAACAATTTCGAGTGAAATGTATACCCTGTTTAAGACAGCAAGGCCAAAAACCATACCCTGGCCAGCGGCACGTCCCCGTATAGCAAATATATGGGAGTACC